TTGATACCGTGATTTTCATAGAATGCATTTTCAATGAGTTTTCCTCAAGGTGGAGAAACACAGCACTGGGTCTTTTTCTGGAGTTAAGAAATTTCTTTGCGACATTTTTTTACTCATTGTGCAAAATACTGGCAGAGAGCCTGCCATGTACCAGGCATCATTCTGGGTCCATGGGATCTATCAGTGAACAAACAGATCAGGTTTCCTGCCCTGGTGGAGCTTATGTGTTAGTGGGCCAAAGAAACAGTAACATAAAGAAGCATTTCATAGCAGGTTAGAAACTCCTAAGTGCCATGAGAAAAACAAAAACAAAAACACAAAGTAAAACAAAAATCCTAACAAGTAAGGGGGTTTTAGAGTGAGGGGGGTGATGGGAGAAAGGGTGGTTTTTACTTTTCAACAACATGTTTAGGATAGGGCTCATGGAGAGGGTACGTTTTCAAAATGACTTAAAAGAGGTCAAATGGAGTGTAGAAGGAAAGACGCATTCCCTATCTTAGTCATAGATAGTTCTGGACATTTGTGTTACAGAGGTATTTGCTGGTAACTTTTGGGTGGAGGGGTGGCATTACTGCGTGGAAAGAGCGACAAGAAGCCCCCTGCACTGGACACTCATTTATTTACACGTGACCACCATTAATGGCTACCGAAACTCGAATTGGTTGTTGACTCTAGGGGCAATTACCTTCTGGGCCAGACATCGAAATGACAAGACAAGGAAAAGAGAAAACAGGGAGAAAGGAAGCGAGTGGGAGAAGCCTGGGCTGCCTGCATTCAGATATTTACACCAAGGTCTAACTCACAAAGACTATCCAGCACCATGGACATCCTTCTATGTTCCCATGGCCTCCAACAGTGTATTAAATTCTGTCCTTGTCTGACATCAAGTAGTAACAGAGAGTTGTCATTGTCCTGAGCAACAGGAGATGGGATGACTTAATTTCTTTTTCTTTCAGAGGCATGTCACAGGGCTGTATTTAAAGACAGGAGAAAAGCACTAGATCTAGGTAAGAGAAAGCACACTTTACCACACCCTTGGGGAGACAAAGAGTAAAGCCATTGCAGGTAAAAAGGGCCACATGGAGTTTTAATCAGCAAAGAGCTGTGTGACACTTTCTATGGGAACCAATAGTATAGGACGGTCCAGCTCTGCTGTCCAAACACCCCTGGCTAGTCCCCAGGATAACAAAGCTCGAGTATAACTGATTTCACATCTCTGAATATTTATCAATAATTCAAAAGGAAGAATTAATATATGAAAAACATTTTTTTTAAATAGGAACACAATGCTTTATTTTACACTCTGAAACTAAAGAAATCCGGTCTCTAGGTGGGGGTTCATCAATACTTTTGGAAACTAGCCCCTATGTTATTATTGGTGCATGAACATCCAGGCTCAGGCTGTAATCTCAAGCAACACATTCCATGGTCTCCTCCCAGGTCAGCCAGCCAGGAACCAGACCCCCACCCTGCCGATTCACATCCCTCCCAGGCAGAACAAAAGCTTCCATGCACATCCAGGCTTGTCCATCACAGGGCTGTCTGCATTCCTGTTCTATCTGTCCTCGCATCCCCATGACTCACACCCCCACAAATCTGCACCTTCCCATTTCCTCATCACTCTTCAGGTCTTGGGCACTGATGACTCTGTCCTCAGGAAACTTTATGACGCTGTGCCAGGATCAGGAAAATCTGCAATTTTTTCCATTTACAGAACCAGAGTCCTAATAAATATTTCCATGTATATGGTGGCAGTCCTAACAGATCGAAAGTGCTAATAAAAAGGGGCACCTGGGTGGCTCAGTTGGTTAAGCATATGCCTTCGGCTCAGGTCATGATCTAAGGGTCCTGGGATCAAGCCCCGCGTCAGGCTCCCTGCTGCTTCTCCCTCTTCCTCTGCTGCTTCCCCTGCTTGTGCTCTTTCTTTCTCCCTCTCTCTCTAATAAATTTTAAAAAATCTTAAAAAAAAAAAAAAAGCTAACATTTATGGAACACTTGCCGTGTGGGGGGCATGTATGAACATTTACTTATGAACACTTGTATGTGCTAAGTTCTCTGAGTACACTGGTGTCTTTTTATCTTCACCATAGCCTTTTAGTTATGAAAGGGGATACTGAGACACATAGAGGTTAAGCAACAGTAAGTGGCAGAACCAGGATTTGAACCCAAGACCTTGAACCCATATTTTTAAGTATTACAGCCTATTGCTACTCACTATGAAAAGCATATTTATAAAAGATGTACTTGTACAAAGTATTAAGCTATCCATAGTAAAAACCTCACAGTAGAAAGACTTAGAGTAGGGCTATGGAGATGGAGAACCAGCTGGACTGTAGTTTTAGCTGGAGTTGTTGCTGGACTAGGCAAGGTCACAGCATGGAAGCAGATGGTACCTAAACTGGGTAATGTGAGGAGAGTTTATTAAGGGTGCTTTTTTAAAAGTTGTGGTCAGGGTTCGGGAAACCAAAAGGGATGGCACAATGCTCCAGGGCTAGCAAAATAGAGAAGTTGTTGCCATTGGTAGTTCTGCAGGGGCAAGGAGAGGGAGTGACTGGAGGAAACCAGAAAGACCTGTCTGGAGAAGGCCACCTGAGAAGACATGAGTCTCCGGGACAGGCAAATAACCAGCATCTGGCACCAGGACAAGGAGGAAGCTGGTAATAGGTGCCCCAGCCTCCTCTTCCAATGCCCTCTGATCTCCTACGGTTGAGTAAGCCAGTTGGCAGAGGACAAGGGCACCCATCGATGCAGCCCACATGGTCATTTTTTAGGACAGAGAGCAAGGTCTTAAAGGGTTCAGGGCAACATGAAGGACGAATAGGAAATATGTAACAATGGCATTCTCGTGATAAACTGGGACAATTCTCAACCTCCCTGGGACTCAATTTCTCATCATCATGAGACAATTGGACCACACGTAATTTACACTGCCTTCCAGCTCTTACATTTCAAGGTTTTATGAATACACCCTCCACCTATTTCTCAAGAGGTTTTCCGAATAACTTGAAAAAATAATGACTACAACAGAGCCCCCATGATGCAAACTCTAGTGATATTGTGCATCCCTTCTGCCCATGTGTTTTGATGAAAGCGTGAAGGTAGACCATGACTGAGGTGGGAGGGCATTTATCTTCTTTAGAAAGTAACCAGAACATTGCTAAGTGATCTTAAAAAAAAAAAGGCTGGAGAATATGAAAACTGTCTTGGCAAAGGAACTGATGTAACAGAAAATCCCTTGCTCTCTTTCTGATGCAGAAAGAAAGGTACAGAAGAAAGTATTGCCAAGCATACTAGGTGAACCTGGAAAGAGGTGCTTCACATGCTTTCATGGGAGTCTGTGTCATCACGGTTGAAGCCCATGACTGTGTTCTCATCAAGAACCAATGGACACATGTGGTTGGGCACTGAATGTGAATGTTGGGACGGAAGGCCTTGGTCGGGGTAGGGGGGATTGGGAAGAGAGGATTGTACTCTCCTGAATCATTTGAGGCTTATCTAAGTAGCCTTTGAAGTTTGCTTCTAGGTTCTTGATAGTTCTCAAGGTCTCTGGTTGATCCTTGAGGGAGCACTAAGGTTGTCTGTTGTCTGAAGTGACAGCGTCACAGGCTCCTCAGCTTCTGGAGACACACTTGCTTGTTCTCAAAGGCTGAGGTAATTGATGTGTGATAATTTAAAGGATGTTGGAATCTTCCCCCTGCCTCCCCTATCCCTACTACTCAAGTAAATCAAAGTGGAACTGCACCATTATAGAATCATCCCTTTGTTTTGACTTGACTCACAAGAGGTTTATTGATGGTTTTCTTCTTAAATGAGAGGAAACTCGCGTCGTCTCAAGACCCCTAAATCTCAGGGGCCAAGGATGTATACATGTGTTGTAGAAAGGCGGGGTATGCTCATTTTGAACTTGTTCTACTTCAAAACTGTTCCTGCCATGGCCTGAAGAATAAAAAGGAAGGAGGCAAAAAAATAGGAAAATGGCAAATATATACACGTGTATAATAAACGATATGCAAGTAGGAGCCTATTCTCATGTGGTTGTGTCTAGGCCACCTGCAGGTCAGCTGCACAAGAAAACAAAAGCTTGAGACATGGAGTGGGTTGAAATACCAACATGTTCACTTACTAGTTGATGACCTTGCATGAGTACTTTGCCATTGGTTTCCTCACTTAAAAAATGGACCTCATGAAAATATTACACCTATCACACAGGCTCGATGTGATAAAATGAGATCAATTCAAATACTTAAGATCATGGAAGTAAAAGCACTTCATAAAACATAAGTTACCCTAAAATGCAAGGGATTATTATTACTCCATTTAAATTGATGTGACAGCAGCATGCCCTTTGAAGGCAAATGGTGCACCTGAAGATTTGTCAACAAACCCAGCCACCTGCAGCAAAGACACCAGGAGTTTCTTAGAAATCTGTTCAGCATACTAAATATCAGATCTAGGTCACAGGAATAAGCCACATTTTGAAGTTCAATTAATAGAATGAATCATTTCTCCACCCTTCATTTTGCCTATTTTTAAAAACATCTTAACAGAGCCACAATCAAGGGTAAAACCGATCAGTGCACAGAGAACTACCACAAATAGGTCTCTGAAGGGTGAAAAAATGTGACAGATGTACAGAGAGTAACTTGAAAGAGTATTTCAGCAACAGACACAAGACGCTTGACTTAACAGATGTTTACAGTTAATAAATCCCACTTTATAACTATTTTCACAGAATATTTTTCTGGTGAAATACCTGGCAGCCATCATGAAGGTAGCAGAAAAATACTTCAGATCGACAGCCTGCTAGGAAGTCGAAATTACACTCAGTGACAAGGATTCACAGCTACTCGGGGTGCTGCGGAGCAAAACCAGGGTCACTGCCAAGTCCCCCACCTCTTCCTGGATACTCATTGAAAGGTCCAAGTAAATGCTCCACCTACTCTGTCAATTAGGAAAGGTCCTCGTCAATCCCCAGTTGCATGCACCTCGGTCATCCTTACCCAGAGACTCCATCACAACCTTCCCATGGACAAAACTCACAGGCTGAGGCGAGGTGCTGGCGAGTCTCCATGAGAGGCGGCCTGGCTGGCGTTCAGTTGTGCCGGCCGCATTGATGACCAAGAGAGGCTGGCTCACCATGGGCACAGGCTGGGAAAGGAAAGCTCTTCCTTTTGTGTTCCCCTCTAACTACAGAAAATCACCAGCAGTCCCAGCCCGACACAGCTGAGGCCTTCTCCAGCTGCGAAGGAAGAACATAATAGGCAATATCTGCTCTCCCCTCCTCCCTTTTTCTCTCCCTTCCCTGTAGACACACTCAGCATGAGGTTCCTGAGGAATTAGTTGCGGGAGGACGCCTCCCCCGCTGGCAGCCAAATGCCAACCGCACGTCCTGCCCATGTAATGTGTCTGACATTTCTGCATTGCTCCGGCTTAACATTGTTTGACACAGACTTCTTGAAATACCTCTTTAAAAGGTTTGTGCATATGTGCATGTTGTAGGTGTGTATGATTTCTATTGTTTCACAGCATCGTGGCATGTATTTGTTATTATTATTATTCTAAATTATTCTCTTAGTTGCTGACACATCGCTGCTTTGGTATTTCCACTTAGGCAGAAGTAATTGGTTTCAGAAGGCTGAAAACCCTTATTTGAAACCATGTGCACATTCTTGTTGATGGATGCCATAAAATGTTCAAATATCATCTTCCCTCAAGTAAAACAAGCGTTAAAATCCAGAAGGACGGGGTGTGATTGACAGCACGGCATACTTACATTTTAACTACCTGTTGTCAAATTATTTTAAAGCACCTGTATATGAAATGGGGTCAGCCCTCCTTCTTGGTCAGTTACCTTTAGGTAGATCTTATCATGTTGGAAAGGGATTCTCTTTCCCTGTCCTGGAAAGCACTTTCCATTTCTCATTGTGTTTCCTAACGGGCAAAGGGCTGATGGAGTCAAGATCTCTCTCCAACATTCACACAAGGTGCTATTTCTGATGGAGAAGAGAACAGCTATCCATCATGTTTGGAAGAAAGATCTAGTTGTATCCCCTCTACTCAGAAAGCAGAGTTTTTCTTGCAATGTTTTTGGATATTTTTCATGATTTTATTTTTAAAGATGTCACAGCATGGCTGCTGAAATGGACTACACAGATGACATCAGTATCTCAGACAAAAAAAATTCTCCCAAGAGACAATGAACCCCAATGCCAGATGGTGTAGGGAAGGCAACTGGATGCCTGTGCATAGCTACAGCAGAATGACCAAGTAGGCATGTGCGTAGGAACTGTGTGCGTGTTTTGTACCACCACTCATCTGCCTAGGAGAGGCACCACAAAATGCACTACCATTGGTGGAATCTTCAAAGACCACCCTGGAAACTCAGGGCAGAAATCCATCCAGAGCATCTCTATGTGATGCCTAGAGGCAATATAGCAGCACAGTTAAGCCTGCAGAGTCTATAACTGGACCGAGTGGGTTCAAATCCCAGCTTTGTCAGCTACTCATTGGGTGATTTTAGGCAAGTGCCTTAACCATACAGTGCTTTGGTTTCTTTTTCTGTGCTATGGGAATGATAATAGAGTCGACCTCAAAGGATTGTTTTGAATAGTGAGGTAATACATGCAAAAACACCTCCATCATTGCTTTTGCTATCATTACGAGTCAGTCTCTTCCTGATTACTCCACACACAAGGGAGACTAGATCCCATTCCATTCTTGGTTAGATACTATTGTCCGAAGTTTCATCTCTACACTGAGCACAAATTAAGCTCCCTGCAATTTCAATCGATTTACCCCAGATCTATCAGGGAAGGCAGAGCCAGGAAAGTCTCATTTCTCTTCTGCTGATAGTTCTTCACAATATTTGAGACAGCGGTAATATGTCCTTAAGTCTGGTAAAGACCAAGCCAAGCTAGTTTTAAACAACTTTTCCTCATATGGCAATGGTCACATTTTTCTTCATCTTTATCACCTTTCTTTGCTTCATATTTGTCAGCGTCCTTAAGTTGCATCATCTCAAATGGAACGGAATTTTCTGGCTATGTTCTAAGAATGCAAGCTTATAAGAAACTATTTCTTAGGCCAGATAATGCCATTTCCTCGATCTTAGAAGCAATCAGGACTTTCAAAATTTATAGTCAAATAGCCAGCCTTCATTCACTTGGCCCAAAATATGTTTTTCAAATAGAGCTCCAAAGGAGGTTTGTTTTTTTTTTTTCCCCTGACATCAGTATGAAGGAAACACTCTCTTGTGTATAGACCCATATAACTAAATACTTGTCAGTGTTCTGAGGCTAAAGAACCTTCTGAAAAATCAGTTCACGGCTCTCCAGGATGGAAATCTACATCTGGAACTAAGTTTGCAAAGCACCTGGGTGATCAGTCAGCCTAACTATTTTATTTTTCCAAAGACACCCAGCTTCAATGACTTCCCCAAGCTCACAAAAAGATGGAGCTGAGAGTCGAACCAATATGAAATCATGGGCTAATCCTTGCCTAATACCTCTCTACGTGGCCAACGAGCATTTTCTTTCTCATGATGTCAGTATAACCCGGCCTATTTCTCTTCAAAAGAGATTCACCAAGGGAGCTCAATAGCTTTTCCATCACAGTCAATCAGAGCAGTTGATGGGTCATCCTATTAAAATTGAGCCATATGTAGGTGTGGACAGTGGTAAAGGCTTACAGGTGTGTTTCAGAACGGTGTTTCAAGAAGAGGCCCCAAGAGCTATAGGAGAACCATGCGTAAGTCTTTCTAATTGCAATCCATTCCAGATTTCTCAGGGTAAAGGCATCATGTCTTTGTTCATTTGCACAGACATTAGTGTGGGCCTCTGCATCCCAGCTGTGGACTCAGCAGCAGTATGTTCTCCAAAAAGAGAAGCTTTATCTCTAAGCCCTTGCCGATTATACTGACAGATGACCTGGAGCAAGAAATGGGGATTTCACTTATTCCTTCCTAAAAGGAAATTAATAAAAAACTGCTTTCTACCTTGCCTGACAAAGATAATGTGAACCTGAATATAACATTTGTGCATTTGTGGCTTTAAAGAAACAAAACCAGAAAAGGTAGAAGTGCTATTTTTTAAATATTTTCTTATCCTGAAAGCAATTGTAACTAAAAAAGAACAAGAAACAGGCAAAAACCAAACACAGACAAATCTCAGGTCACTTGAGACTTTGGATCCTGCTCAGCATCTAAGAAGATATTTCCCTGATTCTGCTAAAAATGACCTCTTCCTCTTCTCACTTGATCTTGCTGAATTCTATGACACTTCACATACTATACTGTAATAGTTCTGTGTACGTATGTCCACTCCCTTATAAGCTTCTGAGGGACAAGGACAAATCATCATGTTGTTTTCTGCCATCATGGCATCTTGCCCAATTCGACAACTTCCTGTTGGTTCTCTCAGTAGCATTCTTGCTCCTCTAATCCTTCATCTGCATGGCAGGCAGAAATGATCTTTCAAAAACAAATCTGATCATTATATCCTCTTTTTAAAAATCCTTCACTGACTTCCATTTTTCTGAGGATAGATTTTATACCCATTTCAGATGGTCCAGGAACCCTTGTAGGATCTGTTCCGTGCCCACTTCTCACCATGTTTCACTCCTCTCTCCTGCTCCCTCCTTCTGCCCCAGCAACCCTGTCCTTCATCTAGTTCCTGGAACCCACGATTTTCCCTCCCAGTCCACACATACAACTTCTCTCCCTTCCTCCCCCAACCCCTTCCTCTGATTACCTTCTATAAATCAGTTCACTTCTTTAGGGAAGCCTTTCCTCATATCATATTCAAGTCAAGTTTCCCTGATGTTACGTGCTATCATCCTGTCCTATAAATTTTCTCCAAGACCCTGTGAAGGCATATTTCCTCAAACACTAATGAAATAGGACATAATTGTATTAGAAAATATATCTCAAGTTCTCAGAAACTTCTAAGGAGCTATACCATCAAAGGAGGAATTGTATCTCCCTCCTGAAAACAAAGTATCAGTGCAGACATGTTCTGGGGTGGGGGGAGGGAGTTAGAATCTACCATAATGTTTAATCAGCTACCCCCATCATTTTTACTTAAAACAAAACAAAACAAAACAAAACCAGGCTGTTTAAGAAGTTTAATATTTTAAGAAGCTCCCAAAGGTCTTGAGAGAGAATCAAAGTGTAGTTGTATTACTATGTTATAGTATGTTTTCAACAAAAGCGAAAACGAACTTTTGGGACTTCATCAAGATAAAAAGCTTCTGCACAGCAAAGAAAACAGTCAACAAAACAAAGAGGCAACCCATGGAATGGGAGAAGATATTTGCAAATGACAATACAGATAAAGGGCTGATATCTAAGATCTATAAAGAACTTCTCAAACTTAACACCCAAAAAACAAATAATCAAGTCAAAAAAATGGGCAGAAGACATGAACAGACACTTCTCCAAAGAAGACACACAAATAGCTAACAGAATAATAGAATGTTCATTATCATTAGCCATCAGGGAAATTCAAATCAAAACCACATTAAGATACCACCTTACACCAGTTAGAATGGCAAAAATTGACAAGGCAAGAAATAACAAATGTTGGAGAGGTTGTGGAGAAAGGGGAACCCTCTTACACTGTTGGTGGGAAGGCAAGTTGATACAGCCACTTTGGAAAATAGTGTGGACGTTCCTCAAAAAGTTAAAAATAGAGCTACTCTATGACCCAGCAATTGCACTACTGGGCATTTACCCCAAAGATACAGATGTAGTGAAAAGAAGGGCCACATGCACCCCGATGTTCATATCAGCAATGTCCACAATAGCCAAACTATGGAAAGAGCTGAGATTCCCTTCAACAGACGAATGGATAAAGAAGATGTGGTCCATTTATACAATGGAATATTACTCAGCCATCAAAAGGATGAATACCCAACTTTTGCACCAACATGGATGGAACTGGAAAAGATTATGCTAAGTGAAAGAAGTCAAGCAGAGAAAGTCAATTATCATATGGTTTCACTTATTTGTGGAACATAAGGAATAGCATGGAGGACATTAGGAGAAGGAAGGGAAAAATGAAGC